TTTAAAAGGGCCCCACAGAGCCCCATCCGCCACTACTGACAGGGCTAAAGCAGGCTTCCGGCCCACCCTCCCTCCCTGCTGCTCCTTGAAACAGCCGACATCTTCCCCTAGCCACACAGAGGAGACTTTGCACACTCCCTTGTCCCCAGGTCTCAATTGGCCTGGTGGGGGGATCTGGCCGCGGACATGGTCTTGCCCACCCCGTCCTAAGGTATGATTGCAGCCTTCCCCAGCAGCCTCTTCTGCCTCCAGTAGCCTGGTCTTATGACCTCCCACCCAGCTCATTCCACTCCACCTGGCTCCATCCCTGATGAGCCCCCAGGTTCCTCTGGCACAGCGGCAGATATAGGGCAGGGCGAGTGGGGCGGCTGCCCCAGACCCCGCGCTTCAATAGGCCCTGCGCCAGCACCAGAGTTTTTAGATGACATCACATCTCTCACCCACTTCCCTGGGGAGCCAGCCTCCCGCCACGTTTGTGCTAGGTTAAGAGCGAAGCTGAAGTGCAGACACAGCCCCCGGGGTCAGCCGCCTCTTTCTCTCTCACAGCCTCAGGCTCCCCTCCCAGGTTGCCAGTTCAACTCGCAGGAGAGCGCAAGGGGAGCAAGGAATCTCATGTGGAGCGTGAGAGAACACATTGCCTGCCCGTGTGTGGCTCATCACAGCTACCCCGGGGCGGATGGCTGCTGGGATCTAGAACCACATCCCCCCTTACACACACACACATGATCAGGCCACCTGAAGACACCCGAATGCAGGGCCATCACCCCTCCCCAGTTCGCTCTGTCGCGCCCCACCACTGCCTGCACGCCGCGCCTTTCGGAGAGTGGCAGCGCTGGAGGGGGTGTTGCGATGTAGCTCATCACCGTAGCCGGGAGAGCGGGGGGCCAAGGAGCAGCAACGCGCCTAATTTTAAGCAGCCGAAAGTTCCCCAAAGCGCCCATTCCGGCGGTTTTGGGTTACCCAGGTTATAAACACGAGACACTGCTGAGGGGGGAGGGAGCCCCCGGTGCCCAGAGCGGAGCCCCAGGACATGGGGGCGGCCAGTGGCACTTATTGCAGTGTCTGTGCTCAGCCCTCAGAGCCCCAGCAGCAGGCAGCCGGCAGCCAAGCGGCTGCAGCTACGCGGCGCTGACATAGCCCGGCCAGGGCTGAGCCTGCGGAGCGAGCCCCCCTTGTGGCGGCACTTTTCCCTCTGCTCTGCTGGGCAAACTTCTCCCAACTTCACTTCTCCCGGCCCTATTTTGCCCCCCAAAAAGGCAGGCGGGCGGTATCCCTCCGCCGCACTCTAACCTCGCCAGGCTCCGGGGGGGATGCTTGTCCAAGCCCGCCTAGGATCACAAGCTATGAGGGTCAAAACGGCAGCCTGGCTACTCTGCTTCAGCCAAAATTACAATACAATTAAATGAACATTTGTAATTATTCATGCAGAATTTTGTTTAACAATGAATTACAATAGAATTAAAATAAAAATTATCCAACTCAATAAAGTTTCTATCAAATTTATCCAATTCACGTTTAGTATGAAAATTGCCTTCAATCTGCGCATTTTTTCTATTTTGTCTCCAAAGGGGGGCCCCGCAAAATTGTGCTGCCCTGCCCACAAAACTCTCATCCGCCCCTGCTCTGGCATGTGGCCTGTCAGGTTAATTAGCCCCCTCCCCCTTTCTGACCCATCCCAGCATCTCCGAGCCATTTCTCTGTAACCTGACAGGCAAAGGGGGAAGTGTGCTGCAGCGCAGGGAGAAGGCTGGCTCCACCACACAGGTGAACCAGGTGATCACTTAGGGTGCCAGGCTTTAAGGGGTCCCAAAAACCCAGCCAATAGAAGTGTGTGGGGGGGGGGAGCTTGCAGGCAAACGCTCCCCTGCACTGCCATTTCCCCAGCCAGTGTGGGGGAGAGAGGGAACCACAGTGCACAGATCCTCTTCCTTTCCCTGCCAGGCAGAGCCGGCCCTGCAGGGGCTCTGGTGATGGCTTCCCCCAAATGAATGAATGCTGGGCGGGGAGGGGTGTGTGTTCCAAAGTCCTAGTTGGCTAAAGTGCCAAATAGGGATGTTGACATGGTGTCTCCGTGTACATGGTTAACCAATAACCTGTATGGGTCCTCCACATCCCTTGCGAGTTGCAATTCCAATTGCGCTTTCGCCTTCCTGATAACTCTCCTGAATTCTCGAGCTGTACATTTATACCTCTCCCTAGTCATCTGTCCAAGTTTCCACTCTTTGTAAGCTCCCTTTTTGTGCTTAAGTTCACCAAGGATTTCCCTGGTAAGCCAATCCGGTCTCCTACCATATTTGCTTCTTTTGCTACGCTTTGGAATGGTTTCTTTCTGTGCCTTCAACTGGGACAGGGGGTTGGACTCAGTGACCTCCTGAGGTCTCTTCCAGCCCTAAGTTTCTATGAAAAGGCCTAAGTGAGGCGTTCTCCTTGGCAAGCAACTTTTACTGGGATTCAGCCACGATTTCCTGTGCATTTCTTCCCATTCCTTCTACTGTCTCCTCCCTACGTTTCTCAGCCTGACATCCTCCATCCGTGAAGGTGGATTTTTTGCTGGTTCTTTTGTATGGTTTGGAAATGAGAATAGTTGCTCTGTAGTGTCTGGCTGTCTTGAGTTGCTCTTTACCCTTGAAAGCTCACGTTGATTTGGAGATGGTGCTTATTATGCCTTATGGGTTGGCTCAGGGTTGTCCAAAGGACACTGTGACCATAGACTGCTGTCCCTTGTCTCTTACAGTGATGGACATCACAGAAATCATCAAGGGAAAATGTGAGAGTGATGAGGACAAGCAGCATTTCATTCCTGTGCACCTGTGAGTAAAGCCAGCCCTTGTGAGCAGAGACGGAGGGGGGCTGCAAAGGCTGGGGTAGAAGGGCTGGGTTGAGACAGGCAGGACTTTCCATTCATGGGAGAAGAACTCAGCTGCCAAAGGGGAGCATTTTTGGATCAACTGACAGTCTCCCTCTCTTGGGTGGAAGGAGACACTGCCCACAACCAGGAGAAGATGAGCACAAGAAGAGGGTATTAAATTAGACTGAAAGAGGGAGGGGCTAGGGCGCATGCTCTAGCTGGGAGGTTGTGATGGACCGGGCCGAGTCTTGGCACAGCCATCGGCATCTGCTCAGGGCAAATTGCTGAAATTCGGGGCTCCTTACAGCCCCCAGACTGGAGATCTTCCCAAACTGGCCACAAATCAGTCCCACAGAGCGCTTCAGCTGCCTGCCTGGCCAGCCAGAAGCCTCACCAGCAAAACCCCTCTGATACCCCAGCAATATCCATGCCCCAAATGGCCCCAGGCCTCATACAAAGGTGAGGGGTTTTAGAGCCCAGGCTCACCTTCCCCGAACAAGTTCTGTCCGGTTCCAAGAAACCAGCCACAGATCCCAGGTCAAATTACACTCTGGACCTTACCCACAAATCACGCGAGCCAATCCTTTAGAATCTAACATCTAAAGGTTTATTACTAAAAGAAAGAAAAGCATGAGAGTAAGGTTGTTAAAGTATCATACATTACATTCATCGAATCTCCCAGTTCTTGATGCAGGCTCGCAGCAGAGATGTTATAACTGCTGGCTTAAAAGTCTTTGGTGTACATCCTATGTCAGGACGGGTCCACAGTTCTTTCCGGCTCGTTGATCCCTGCAAGGCTGCCTCTGGGATAAAGAGCTGAGCTGAGCACCAAGATGGAGTCGGCCACATGGCATATTTATATCCCTTCCTGGCTTCTTCCAAGCTGGAGACAGTCACATGGTCAGTGGCCAGGCACCTAGATTCCTTCCCAGGTGGGTCTCTGGTATTTAAGAGACCTATTGTTCCTGGTGGCTTGCTAATTAGCATGTCCATAGGCTGAGCTTTTCTCGCCCATTGCTCAACCCCAGATAGACACTCCAGTCTCCATACAGAGCACATGTTTATAAATTCCACACAGACCTTATACAGGTATATGAAGAGCATTGTGGTGGATTTATGGGCACGAGCTCGTGCTCTCCATATGGAGGGTGGGGCCCTGGAAGCCCACTGCCTTTAAACCCTGCGGTGTGGCGGATTTATGGGAATGAGCTCCCACCCCACGCCCATGGGGGAGGGGCCCAGTGAGCCCACCATCCTACATATTTCAGGGTCTTACGGGGTCCTTGAGCCCCTAAAGCGTGGGCCCTTCCCCGGGGTCCAGGCTAACCCAGTGGCCAACCACTGAGTAGGCTGTCACTCCGTATGTGCTAATATGATGGGTGAGACTATCACGGGGCATAGGATGGGGGATTAGGGTGAACCGAGCCTGCCCTCTTCACCGGGTCTCAGCCTGGGGCCCTAAGGGATCAGGGAGTGCAACCCTTACCTGGCTGACAGGGTTCCTCCCTCAAGCACGCCAGCCCATGGGCGTCAAAAGCACTCTGCCCTGGGCTGCTTCCTATCCCCCTCCTGTATGACAGCTCCTCCAGATGGGCCCACAGGACTTACCGCTCCATCGTCTCCTCCAGTTCCTGCCTCCCTGCTCCAGTCCTCCCGGGGACTCTCCCGGCTGTTCCACCTGCGTGAGGTAAGGTGTTCCCCCCAGGCTGCCCGGCAACTCCTCCCGTGCAAGCTGCCTCGCCGCTTCCTCCCCCGGGCCTTTTCACCTGGCCCACCAAGGGGCATCGCGGTGCGCTGCCCTGCCCCCTCAGCATCCCCACGCTCTGGGACACTGTGCCTAAGAGCTGAAGCTCCTTCCCTAGTGTGACGTAGTGGGGGGTAACTTGCTAACTCACTGGATGCTGTCTGTAGCACCACCCAGCAGGGCAGGGGGTGAGTCATTATGCAAAGAGGGTCTCTCAACCTGTATGACCAGCTATCCCCCAGGGAGAGAAACAAAGGAAGGTGGATGCCGCCCCTGGCTGGGGGACAGGGCGGGAAGAGAGTTAGTTAGTTTCTATCTGAGAGCATGGAGGAGACAGACTAGGGAAAGGGGCTGGAATTTAGGGGCCCAGTCTCCCCCATCTCAAGGGGGGCTGAGGCATCCTAGGCCTGCCCTGTAACCAGATTACATCTGTGCTGTGCTGTGTCCTGGAGAAGCAATAAACTCCCTCTATTCTACTGGCTGGTGGAGTCTGTTCATGCCACTACGGGGGTGCAAGAGACGGCAAGACCCCAACGCGCCGTCACACCAGCCCTGAACCCTCCTGGCTTGCAGGCCCCTCGTGGGGGAAAAAACCCTGTACA